TTCATAATCTTAAAGCTTTTAAGAACTAAATATATGGGAAATTTCCACCTAACTCTTATTGAGATACAAGTTTCCTGTCATCATATTTTGAATTTTCGGGCAATAATCCAAAATCTATTATTAGTTCCTCAATGTACGACTGGATAAGTGTGCGTGAATTTTCAACCCACCTGTTTTTCGATTCACCGAGTGCATTGAATATCTACCACTTTAACGCTCATTCAATGAATGAATTCAACAAATAAGAACATAATAATTACTAGAGAATCCATTTCAAGTTCTGATATTCATTCTATTCACTTTTTTCATTCGGAAAGTCAAGATGTACTACACTAAAGTGTTAGCAGAAGACACATATTAAGGTGAAAGAGACAACACAACTGGGGACAATCGAATGTATTTAAATACAAACTTACAGGATCTCTTAGCAAAATATGAGAGCCATGCAATAATTACTTCATTTGCAAAATGTCAATCAATCGTCTCAAACTTAATTGTTCCTTCATTTCCACATCAATCACTCTCTGTTCTCATTCTCTTCTCTTCGATCTTCTTGACCTTCTGCCATCATATATTCCACTTTCTATTGATGATGCATACTACTTATATCTGTCGACATCAGTAGCACACACCACAACGTAACTAGGATTGGTTGGTTAAAATGAAATCCTTAGTAAACAATATACTATTATATGCATCATTCACCAGCTAAATGAATGAAAAAAATACTAGATATTGGACTTTTGATAAACAGTTATCCTCAAACGTTATAATAGCATATTATAACTACCTTATTTCCCAATAAACATCATCAAAGCATATGACAAATAAAAATGACAATTTCACTTTGTAACAGATTAAATAAAAACTTAGAATCTATAAACTACCACATAAAACATTGTTTATCATTCTATCATATAAGATTGAATTCTAAACACTTTCATTATTAATATCAGAGAGGTTTTTTGGATATTATAGTAATTTTATTGGTTAAGATCATGAGTCAATTGTAGATTGACCACTGTGGAAGGCCTGGAAGCACTGACGGATTAGTTAAATCAGTTGAATAATTGAAATTAGATATTAACACCACTGGATGCCGGCTCAATGGTCTGGAGTTTAAGCGTCCTCGCACGAGACCGATAGATCCTGGGTTCAATCTCTCGAGGTGGGATCATGGACGCGTACTGCCAAGGAATCCCACACTAGGACGAAACGGCAGTTCATTGCTTCCAGGTTTTCCATGGTGATCTAGCTTCAATTGACTCATGAGTTCAACTATTAAAAATTTCATTATTGTTTATTGAAATATATAATAATTGATAAATGTTCTATACATTCTGATCAGCGTTTTTTTTAAGCGAGTTAGTTTTCTACGGGATGGAGTCGCTAACCCCATGCCCAACTCTCCTCCTTTACCCAGGCTTAGGAGCGGCAGTAATCCTAGAAGAGCTACACACAGAGTCTCCATACATTCTCCCTAAGTACATTCGAAATGAATTATATTTTTTTGTTTTGTTTAAATCTGTTAATAGATTTGTTTGAATTTTTCAATTTTTCATTGATTGACAGATTAAATTATTTAAATCAGTAAAAAAGATTTATCTTTTATTCCAAACTCATTACAGTTAATTATGGGTGTTGATGAAATAACTATACATCTATTAAATATAAAAGAATAAGCAAATATACCATTGTAGGGACTGATTGAAATGGAAAAATTATAAGTAAATTAATAAGTTTACAATGATAATTATCTAAATATAAAATCTTATTTCAGTAGTTTGATAGTAGTATCATGATTATATATATATATATATATATATATATATATATATATATATATATATATATATATATATATATATATATATATATATATATATATATATATATATATATATATATATATATATACGGATAGTGTGTAGTGAAGAGAATGATAACAGTGAGTGATTAGTGTGGAAATGAAGGAACAATCAAGTCTGAGATAACTGATGGACATTTTGCAAATATAACTCTCTTCGGTAAATCCTGGATCTTCGTTATCATGATTATTTTATCTCATAAACTTTATAGTATGTCATTTTATCTCTTATAGAGTATTCCTCATTTGTGAAGAAAGATTTTAAGTCATTTCCGTTTTTTTTCTTATGATATGCAATGTCAGTGAAAGTTTTCATCGATTCCCTTAAAATTACAAATACATCTTAATGATGAGTAGTGCCATATAGAACGAAACTTATGTCAAGAGTTCACTGATGACCACATTGAAACACCTTACATTCTATCATAGTGTATTCTATTGTGAATTGGTTAGGTTAGTGGTTTAATTACAATCTCATCGGTTGAATTTAATCAATGATAAACGATTAGACAAACATAATGGTCTGTTTGAATATCTGAGCTACCTGTTCCTGTTATCTAGATGTTTCAACAAGTTATCTGTTTCCTTGTTTGTTTTAACACATTATTATGTCTATAATTCCAATAACTTATCCAGGTATGTTTATGAAACGTTTACAAACTTTTACTGCACAAATTATAAAAAAGTACTATCACAGAAATCGTGGAGGCTGGCATTATACATCGAAAGAATATAAATTAATCAGATATCGATTCTTGAACCGCTATCACGTAACTGACGGTCATTCAGCATTTATCGTCAGGATCAATCAAGAAATAAGAAAAGGAAAAGTGTTGAAATACCTTCAGTTGAGAATTCTACATCGCATGAAAAAGGGAATATTGAATAAAGCCATTAACAATAATAATAATGGAAATGGTCATTAGTATCAGAAGCGGTTTTTGTGGAGATTGTAGTAATTTCAAGAGTTGAGACCATGAGTCAATTGAAGCTAAACCACCATGGAAAACCTGGAAGCACTGGACGGCCGTTTCGTCCTACTGTGGGACCCCTCAGTAGTACACATCCACGACCGCGCCTCGCGGGATTCAAACCCGGGACTTGTCAGTCTCGCGCCAGGCGCTAAACCAAATAGACCACTGAGCCGGAATCTATGGTGGTCTAGCTTCAATTGACTCATGATCTCAACTCTTGAAAAATGGTCATTATTTAGTGATCAGTCAATTCTAAGTACGTTGTCTACTTAGTGATAAGCATTAAAACTCCTGCTGAAATTTTAATAGAAACAAATTTAATGGAAAACAATTCATTGTAATACACATCTGAAAATAAGTCAGCTCTTATGGTTTACATTTATTTTCTTTCATTAACTTACTTATTTTTCCTCCCAACTCTAAAGAAATGTATCCAAGAAAATGAATTTTCTACATAAGAAGCTTCATATTTTGTTTACTCAACCAGTTCGACAAAAATGTATGGTAATTTATAGAAATTGTAGAAATGTTCTTAGTTTACACTGAGAACTAATTTTAGTTAGGCCTCCACTGGAAATCGGGAAGCACTCAATATTTGTTTTGTCCTAGTATGGGACTCCTCAGAAGTATGCATCCATGACCCCATCATAAAGGGTCAAACTTAGAACACTCAGTCTGCGACGGAAATACTTAACCTCTAAACCACTGACCTGACATCAAACCATATATACATTTAACTTCAACCAATTTATGATACTGCGTGTTCATCTTCCATTACCTGAAGTGGATAACTGTCTCACGGTTGGTCGTACAATATCGTGGTTGGTTAAAGTTAAATGTGTACATAGTTTGGTGTCAGCTTATTGATTTAGAAATTAAGCATTTACTTCAGAGACTGAATGTCCTAAGTTTGACCCTTTGCGGTGAAGTCGTGGATGCACACTTCTGAGGAGTCCTATACTAGGACAAAACAGATATTTACTGTTTTCTGGTTTTCAGTAGAGACCTAGCTAAAATTAGTTTTTCGTGAGAACTTTGAAAAAATTATCTGTTAAATGGAATTAAATATCGGTTACTTAGTTTGAATACAAACATGAAACGTTTAATCGGCTTGTTATGATAAATGGTTTAAACCTTAAAATCTAATCGGAAGAAGATTAATGCTTATTAAAGGTTCTATCAAGTTACCTACATCATTTTCCCGGTTAATAGAAGTGCTTTACATTTTAGATCAATCTTCCCTACTTCTATGTCATTAATTCCCAACAACAAATTTAAACAGTACAGATATTATCGTACTTGTTGTGTGTTGAAATCTCTGCTTTCGTAGCACTGTTTGCATCCGTGCTGGAATTATTTTCTGGTGTAAGAAATTAACAAACAACAAATCTGCTAGTACGGAGATTAGATGGATTTTAGATAACATTGGAATTCGGGACATAGGTTTCGTTCGACTTGGGACTCACCAGATAGATGTACATAAATTCCATTGCTAATGTCTACTCAAAGACTAAAATGTAGTGGCTTTTGTCTCAAAATTGTTAACACATTATCTACTATGCTCATGACGCTAGATGGTGATTAACTTGTGAAACGAATATGATTCGTGTATTAGAAAGTGTTGAAATCATCCAATTGTTGAGATTCTTGAATAGATTCTGTTCGATTTTTTTATGTTAGTGTGGTATGTGCTACTGATATCGACAGATATAAGTAGTATGTATCAACAGTAGAAAGCGAAATATCTGATGGCAGAAGGTCAAGAAGATCGAAGAGAAGAGAATGAGAACAGAGAGTGATTGATGTGGAAATGAAGAAACAATTAAGTTCGAGACGATTGATTGACATTTTGCAAATGAAGTATTTACTGTACGGTTCTCAGAATTTATTAAGATGTTGTATAATTTTGCATTGAAATACATACGATTGTCTCAGGCAATGTTCTCATTCACGACATTAGTATGTTTTCTTCCTGTATGGAATTCTTTCATATAGACATTTTTACCACAATACAGTATTTGAGTATTTCTATTATAAAATCAATGATTGTTCATCACGATCTCTCTGTAAATATTTTCATTCATTCAGTTTACAGATCAACAAAATGATTGATAACTTGATCCCTTAATTGAGTTCTTTTTCTTTTCTAATCTTTTCAGGTAATGTTCAAATTTATTCACATTTATATAATCCATATACAACTCATACTTCCATTGGATCACATCATTGTGCTCATGATTCAAACAGTGTAAATATTCCACGATTAAAAGATAACAGTAATAATAATAATAATGATAATAAACATTATACATTTTATTCAGGTGCTCATCTGCCTAGTTTTTAGCTACACATTGTTTAGGTCAATCATCTTCATTATTATCTACTCCACCATTATCACCATTACAACAAAAGAGAAAACAATTAAAAACTTCATCATCATCATCATCACCAATTGGTATAGAATGTCGACAAAATTGTATTGGAGATAAATCAAAGTATAATTCTAATTTTATTGTTGATCATAGAAATAATTGTATGATAACACCAGGTTGTTTTATATCGAATTGTGCAGAAACAGAATTACCCACATTAAAAACATTCATACAACGACAACAACAACAACAACGAAATGATCGAATACCGCCAATCCCAGTAAAATTAAATATTCAATCACATTGTGATAATAATCAAGGAATATTGAATGAAAGTCAGCAAATATTTGAAGACAATGATAAATATAATATTACACAAGATTATCAACGGGTATGTGCAAATATAATACAGAATTCATAAGTAGATCAGAATGGGTTTTCTGGAGAGTTTTAGAAATTTCACAGGTTGAAATCATGAGTCAGTTGAAGCTAGACCACCATTGAAAACCTGGAAGTCGTTACCAGTGGAGTTCAACCAGGTCTGTTGTGAGATAGGAACTCACTGAAGACAATGGTGTACGGTAGCGCAACTTCGTGGATTGGTTGAAGTTAGACATTAACACCGTTGGATGCCGGCTCAGTGGTTTAATGGTTAAGTGCTCGCGCGCGAAGCCAGTAGGTCCTGGGTTCGAGCCTCGCGTGGTGCGGGATCGTGGATGCGCACTGCTGAGGAGTCCCATGCCAGGACGAAACGGCCATCCAGTGCTTCCAGGTTTTCAATGGTGGTCTAGCTTCAACTGACTCATGATTTCAACCTGTGAAATTTCATAAGTAGATCTTCAAAATGTACCATTGTGACAGTTTGTTAATTTATGTATGGTTGTACTTCATCTATTGAATAAGTAATTGAAACAAATGGAGATGTAGAGTAACTCATTCTATATATTTAAACCAACTGATGTTAATTGATAGAAGCTAGATGACAAATAATGGCAAGTAAAGATTTCATGCTTGTCAGTGCAAGATGTATCTGTAATCTTTAGGGAAGTGATGTTTGTTGTAGGATTCCAATTCTCATCGTCCAAACTCACAGTTTAAGACGTTATTCTGCCCATGCTTAACACCCTGTAAAACTAAGATATCTACTATGAATGATCACTGAGTACTAACCAATATGATGTCTATAAAACTCCCTCTTAGTGCTGGTCTATTTTAATCGGTTAAACAAGTTGCAATATGGTCACTAGTTTAAGTGACTTGAAATCACGTGAATTGTGTTCAGATGGTAAGTGATTGGGGTTTGTTCATAGGTTACGTATATATATAATAGACTTCAATACAGAACCTTTGAAGTTACTGATTATTAGTAGTCACTTCTTCTTAATAAGCTTACCGTTTAGTTATTGCCGTTTATTCTTCTGGGTATATGAGTGTTTACATTCAAACTGTAGACATCAATTCCGAAGTACGTTAGCCGAACAACTACTTAGGAAATTACTTATGATAATGCATATTAATTTATTTTCATCATAGATAATGGCAATCATGCTCTTACGTAATATTTGAATATTGTCATGCAGTATCGTAAAGCTTAATATTACTGACCCAGATTTAACAAAACTCCATATTACTTTATTAAGTAACCTGGCTGAATGTAATCACTAATGTATACATTGAACGAATTGATTTATAGTTTACAACTCAATTATTTTAGTGATGACTTCTGATATCTTGTCTATAAAAACAGTCTTTAAACACAATACTGAAAATATTTAACTCATTATATTGCTTACATGGTATCATACAGAAGTTTAGACAATCGAACGTTTTATATCAATCTGCGATTAACAGACACGTCGATATCGAGTTAGTTCATCAGTCCTTAAAGAAAAAAACCAATTAATCACATGATCAAAGGTTAACTAAGCAAACTAATCAACGGCAACAAGAGGATAAATAAAGATAATATGACATGAAATGAAAAGAAGGTCATCATAGAGAGTTTACTTGGTTTTGGTTGAATAATCGGAAAGATTACTTTCATCTGAAGTAGTGGCTAATCGATTTTTGCAGAATGATGCTTAAAGATCGACAATTAAAGCATCCAGCTCAGAGAGGTAATTACTACCACTGTGGTATATATTACTGATGTCAACAGATATAAGTAGTATGTATCACTAATCGGAAGTGGAATGTTTGACGGCAGAAAGTCACGTAGATCAAAAAGAGAATGAGAACGGAGAGTAACTGGTATGGAAATGAAGGAACAATCAAATTTGTGACAATTGATTGACATTTTGCAAATGAACTATTTACCGTATGCTTCTTAGATCTTACTAAGAGATTTGGTTGTTCTAGATCACTACACCACTAACAGATATTTTGAAAAAAAAAGACTTCTGGGGTTTTATTTAGCATAGTGATGATGTAACTCAAAATAAGTAGACAATACACACTATTTGATGGTATCGATTAGTGTCTTGAAATAGTCTGACTTTGTTCTATTAGATATAACCTTATAATGAATTTAATATGGAAAATGTTTCGAAAGTCAACTGTAAATGTATTGTTCCACTATATATACATCATGTGTATTTTTAGTTTACACCGATTAAAATGTCATTCGAGGTATGTTTTATGTGCGCCATCATGTAGGCAATATAAATCTACTGATGTGTAATTCATGATTATCATATGATACAAGCTTTTTTCTTCATTTCCTATAATCTAACTTGGAATTGCGTGATCCACTCAGACGACATTTTTTTCGTTTTATTCCAAGTAAAAAAGGTCCTTCTAAAAGAGGGACATTTGTTAAAATATTATTATTATTATTACTATTATTATTCAACTGTATATCATTTTATCTTGTTCTGTTTGACTCTACACTTACAAATAACCATAATTCATCTTTATTGCCCAAATATAACATGGATTTTAATCAAGTACAATGTGAATGTAGACATGATCAATATTTTCATCCGTCTAATATAGCTGATCTAGAATTATTTCTAATTTACCTGAAATGAAACAAGATCACTGTATATCAGTCAATATTGTTTAATTCATGAGTCGATGTAAGCCAGATAAATAATGAGAACATGAAAGAACTAGACGGTAATTTTGTCCCACTATCAGACTCCTGGGTAGTATGCATCCACAATCGTGGAACAAAGGGACTCGAACCCAGAACCTTCGGTTTCGCACGTGAACACTTGACTTTTAGACCACTGAGCCGACATCCAACGGTGTTAATGCCCAGCTTCAATCGACCCATGATCTTGCGTAACCATTCATCGATTGTCTGAGGTAGATACTTGTCTCTACTCGACACGGATTGGACTCAAATGGTCACAGCTTCTCACTAGAACCTTAGGAAATCCATCTTGTATCTAGCCACTAGTGAGCATATGTTGATTATTATTAGAATGGGGGTTTCGGAAAGTGTAGTAACTTTATGTCATAACTTGTGACCGCCGATTAGAGGACAGTGACTTATCGATCGGACCAATGATGCGTAAAACCGTATGAGCAGCCTAGAGTTCTGATTGGCCCTGCTTTCCGCCTAGCCCAGCCAGATAAGCCCAGAACACAACTCTCAGCCTCTGCGATATGAATAATGTATTTCAAACATACTCTGTTTATATGTCAATCAAGCAGACCACAACGTACAATAAAATAGAAAATAACATTTGTACAATATTTGGCCAACAGGAAAATGACATGCGAAATAAAAATTGACCAATAGGAAGATGATGCCCTTTCAAGTCCAAGGATAGCATTAGACCTAACAGGATAATTTCTGGGATAGTTTTCTGAATATCCCAACACTTCAATAGTTGAATTCATGAGTCGATACAAGCTTGAGCAATATTAAAATCCTGGAAACTGAAGAGTCCCATACTAGGACGAAACTTTCGTCCAAGGTTTCCAGGTTTCGTATGGTGATCTAGCTTAGATCATCTCATGAGTTTAACTATTGAAATCACTACAATCTCCATAACCTCCCGCTATTCTAATAAATGATTATTAATTAAATTACCGCATGTAGTTTTGTAAGACTGAATATGTCAATGGAAATAACGACAGATCATTGATTAATTTGTGACATTTAATCTCATTTCTTTGTGACTGGTCTCTTTATTTGACACGTCAAATTAACTTGGTTGTAGTATTGTTCTATTTATATATGACAGTAAAAAATCCGTTCATTTAATTGTATATTCGGTTGTTTATTTCAAATCGAACCTTTCCATTTTGGAAATGAATGATTTGATTATGTGAAGGAATTATACGTATGAACACTTTTATCATGATAGTATTTTATAAATCAGCTGGATCATTTTACTTGTGAAATTGAAAACTTAAGAATATTCCCTGATAAACTTTAGCGTCTTCATCATAAACTGATCTTTTCTAAACGGTTATTAGAAACCAGGAAGAATTACATAGCTGTTCTTTCCTAATATGAAACTATTCAGTAGTACCTAAACATAGTCCAAAGAGGTATTAAACTTAGAATCTTCAGATATAGCAGCAAATGCTCAACAATGAAACCATAGAGTAGGTATTTAATGATTTACATGTATAAATTTAATCAACTCCTTATACTAGGCCATTATTTTTCAGTGTTATTGATAGGTATCTGTATCACTAATAAAAGTCAGTTGGTGATATAAACTTTAAAATTTGACCATCTCCACAAACACTTTGAAGAAATTAAATTAATCACTTTTTCAAGATTCGTCATAATAGGCGAGACCATAATTTATGGACGACATTTGACCGAAGCTCAAGTGATCTTCAGAGTGTCCAACTAATAACTACGACCATATGACGGTTATAAACCAGTGTGAGGAATTAAAATTATGATTTACAGTTGATAGTTAGGGTTAGGAATTACATTTAGTATTCATCACGAACTGACATCAGTTATAATGCCAAAACTCTATTTAGCCAAATGGATGAGTGAATTTCGCTCCAAAATCCGAGACCTGTTATCTTATACGTGATTGGTTCGTCCAGAAATTATAGTCTCGCCTCATAATATTTATGTCGATATTTATTTTTGACATTAACTATCAATAAATCATGTTGACACTTATAAAAAGCGGGAAATATTCAGGTTGATGAGTTTGAATTTCAAGAATTCCGTATTTCTTATCCAATTAGAGCTAACGAATACTTAAAGAAGACTCTAGGATATTGTTATATAAAAACTATAAATATACTAACATGGTCGATAGCATTCGATCTGCACTAATAAGGACTTGACATACATGACATTGATCACCACACAGTGATCAATCAATTGTGATACTAACGTTTCTCTTATTGTGATTCCTACCTTATTATTTGGAATATAATTACGTTTCTGTTAGATTGCGTTCT